GTGGAGAGGCCCAGGGTGTGGCTCCCTCCCCTGACCACCAGGGACAGCTTTCCCTGGTTAGCTGTGGGAGACTCTTGGCCGAGAAGACAGCGCCCTGGAGACACCCAGAGGCCTGGATCCCCCACTACCCAAACTCTCCTGGAGGCCTCAGAATGCCCAGCCACAAAGCAAATCCCCACCCCTCAGCCCACCCTCTCCCAAGATGCTTCCCCCAACACACCACCTGCCCGGTCAGCCTCCTCCATCTGGTCAGCAGCAGCCCCTCGATGGCAGAACACTGTCAATCAGCAACTCTGTTCTGGCTTGGGTGGAGGGTTTGGGGGCTGCTGCCATGTGCGGGAGCCATGATCCCCAGAGACTCAGGCCATGAGGCCCAGCTAAAAGCAGGGCTGGCACCAACATGTGAGGGGCAGTCCAGGGCTGGTGCCAGGGTGTGAACGGGACCGCCCCTTGGGAACTAACTGGGCCAACCCAGCTCCGAGGCTGGGGTGGCTGTTTTCGAGCATGCCTGAGAAGATGCTGATACCCGGGAGAGTCCAGGCAGGGGTGACACGCGAGGGTGACAGCCCTGCAGATATTAGTCGCAGGGTCTCTGTCCTGTGCACCCACGAGGTGGCTCTTGTTCCTAAAGGGCCAGTGGCCACCCCCCCACCCCCGCCACCCCGGGGACCCAGTGTCCTCGGGTGGAGTGAGCAGCCTTGGCTGCTGGCGTCCTACTGGGATTGTGGTCACTGCCACTGAGAACCAGTGATGAGAGAGGGAGGGAGCATTTCGGCTCAGACTTTGGTTTGGGGGCTACCTCTCTCTTCCCTGCCCACCCAGCCCTTGCCCCACTCACCTGTAGTTGGTGCTCCTTATAGGCACCCAGGTGTAGTTCCGCATCACCTCATCTATGTATCTCTGGGAAGAGAGGCCGAGGCCGGGTCAGGTCCTTGGGCTAGCAGGTAGGGGTGGGGTGAGGGAGCAAGAGGGTGCCCATCCTGACTCTGTCCTCCCTCCATCACCTCACCTCATCCAGGGACTTGACCAATGTTCTGATCTGCTTGTGGCCCTTGTTGCCGTCAATCATGCTCCGGCGGATCTGGAAGGGCCAGTGACGTGAGGGGCAGGGCCTCTATCTTCCTCTGCTCTGTGTGCCTCCATCCCCGCTCCCCTCCTTCTCACCTCCTCCTTGTTCTCATCCTCCAGCTCCGCATCCAGGAAGTCCAGAGTCACAGGCTCCCGGAAGTTGGTGGTCTAGGGGTGGCAGGGCAGGAAGTTAGTAGTCCCCATCTCACAGGGTTTACCTCCCCTCCAGGCCACCCACCTGGCTCACCTGGGGCTTAAGGTTGGGGTGTAGTAACACGTAGCCGTTCAGGTCAATGGCAAACACGTAGCCGTTGGCACCAAGCTGGGGGTGTAGATTGGGGACTCAGGATCTAGATGGCTGGGCAGGGACTCCCAAGGCTCCCCCTGCCTCAGTAGGTGTTGTTTCCCTGTCTGGTTGGCCCAAGGGCCCTCTCATGCCATGCAACCCCAAGTCTGCCTCTTAAGCCAAGCCCAGCAGGCAGGTACCCTTCATGCACCAGTCCTGGTTGAGGCTGGCCAGCTCCAGGGGCCACAACTTGATGTGGCCTCTGCAGTTCTCACCCCTATCCCTGGTTCTCAGGGAGCTGTCAGTTAGGGGGGCTGCTCCACCTCCACTGGCTCACAAGACTGCCTCCCCCTGCCCCCCTGCTCTGGCCTCCTGGTGTCCAGCTCAACAGAGTGCAGAGTATCTTAGCAATCCCACAGGCCTGGGGAGTTCCTTCCAGGTGGCAGGGAAGGGTGGTTCATGGCCCAAGCCCTCAGTTAGTGGGACCTTGGAGCCCTTACCTCTCAGAGGCAGTTTTCTCACAGCACATGGGGCTGATGACACAGGGCCTTCACAAGGGCCAGGTTTAGGACTGTTGTCACACATGCCTCACAACCAAGAACCAAACTCCCCTCACCAGAGGCCCTGGGCCAGCCACACTGAGCTTGCCCCTTACTTGGTTTATGATTCTGTTTTCACCCTCAGGCCTTGGCCCAGAGAGTTCCTTCTGTCCCCACAGTATGCCTTCATCTCATTTCTCCCCAGGACACGCCTGTTTTTGCTACAGTCCAAGGGTCAATGAGCTGTGGCCCATGGGCCTCATCTGCCCTGCTACCTGTTACTGTATGGCTATGAGCTAAGAAGGAACTTTATTTTTTAATTTTATTATTTTTTTTAAAGATTTATTTATTTATGCATACAAGAGCTGGGGTACAGGCCAGAGATGGGGGGGTGATGGTGAGAGGATCCACCAGAGATAGAGTGGGGAACAGCACAGGCAGACTGACCGAAACACACTGCTGAGGGGAGCAGCGGGCGACACCATGTGGGTTTCTCCCTGGCTGGCTGGGGATTGAACCCGTGCTGCAGAGACTGTGGATTACCTCATAGTGCGGTGCTTAACCCCTTGCGCCACCAGGGAGGCCCGGAACTTTATTTTTAAATAACAATAAAGATTGAATGATTTTCGTGACATGTAAAAATTATTTGAAACTCAGATTTCAGTATCCACGAATAAAACTGTATTCAAACAGAGCCATGCCCATTTATTTATATTTTGTCTGTGGCTTTTTCTCAATAAAAGCACAGAATTGCATATGAGGAGAGAGGCTAGCCATGCCTAAATGATTGATAGTCTGGCCTATAGAAAGTCTGCTGACTCCAGTTGGAGGCCTAAGGCCACCTCCTCTGGAAGCCTTCCCTGGCTGCCTGAACTCAGAGGTCTCCACGGAGGTGTGATAACCTCATCACCTCCACGGAGGTGTGATAACCTCTACTGAGCCTGGCTTGTGGCCACAGGGTGGTGGACACTCACCGTGTAGTTGGGAGTCAGCCTCTTGATGTCATTCAGTGCCACGTCGATGCCCATCACACCCAGGATCAGCTGGTTCTGGGAGCAGAGGCATGGGGGTCTGCAATGGGCTCAATTCCAGGGGACGGTCTCTGCCCACCCCTCATGCCCTAGGCCTCAACAGTTTCTCATAACAGCTGCCCCATCCATTTGCAGGCCTGCCTATCCCTCCTCCAACCCAGATGGGCATGACCAAACCGCTCCAGGCATGCCTTGCCCTTCCCCAGTGAGGAACCTCACCTTCTTTTCCCCAGGGCCATCCTGTGTCAGGTTGAAAACAGGGAGGGTCCCTGTCACCACCAACCCCAGTCCCTGAAGGGAGAGAAGGATGGGTTGGTTTCCTGTGGCTGGCTATGCCTCTACCCCAAGCTTTCAGAGCAGGACCTCAAGCACAGACTACTTGTCCTTCTCCTCTATTTGCTTTACTTCCCTGGGCGGAGGGGGCCAGAAGGGAACTGACCATGTGGGAATATCCATGGGAGAAGATGCCAGCCCCACCCCTTCCTTTCCCAGAGACCTTACCAGTGCATCCTCATACACGTTGGTCCATTGCACCTGCTTGGCCTCTTTGCCTGCCAGCACCATGGGCCTGCCCAAAACATCTAGATATTCCTGAGGAGGGGGCGTGGTCAGGGGTTAGGAATTGACCCTCCCTCTGCACCTTTCCTGTTGTGCCACCCCATGCATCACTTTGCCACCAGGGGGCGCTCACACCCCATAGCAGCCCACCTCCTGCCATCCAAGCAGAAGCGAGGAGGAGGCCCCCCACAGTCTCACCTGTGTGTTGATGCGGATGGCACCAATAGAAGGGATCTCAAAATAGTAACCTGTGAGGGAAGCGGAGGCAGAGGTGGGCCTGGGTGATGCTCAGGACCCATGAGATTGGGGGTCTAGTATCCTGGGATATGAATACAACCCTGACATGTCCCTCAGGCACCCTCTCTTTTTCATGCTCTCTTTTTCATCACTGCTTCCCAAATTCATATCCCTTTAGTGATCCCTGCCATTGCCCTGTCAGTGGAACTGATGCTACAGAAGGAGACATGAGTACAGGGGTTTAAGGATGCAGAACTGGGGTGAAGGGAGCCTGAGGCTTGTAGTCCCTCATTCTAGGGTGCCAGTGACATTCAGAGTCCACCCGGAGACCAGGCTCAGGTGCATGGAGAGATGGGTTGACCAGTAAACAGATGCAGGAACAGACAGGCTGGGAGACAGATGGACCATGGACAGATGGGCAGAAAGAGCTCAGTCAGAAGGACAAGTTAGACAGTCAGACAGATGGACAGTCACTTATATGGAAAGCTGGACAAGTCGTGGCTGAATGAGCAGCTGGGAAGATGGACATATGGATGGACAGGTGGACAAGCCCCCTGATGTACTGCAGGCCGAGGCAGGCAGGCCGGGGTGGTGACACCCGGAGGAGCTACCTTTGTTGGCACAGGCCATCCACTGCAGGGGTGTGACGTCATAGTTGTGCTGCCCCACGGAGAAAGTGAACACACGCACCTGTGTGGGGCTCGAGGTTACTGCCTTGGCCACCAGAGGCAGCCCTCCCTGTACAGGGTCTGGGTTAGGGCGACCCCCGCCAGGGCTGAGCCTCACCGTCCGGTTGGGCCAATTGTACTTCTCAAAGACGTCCTGCACGCGGTCCTCCCCGCCGTCCGTGAACATCATGATCATCTTATTGCAGTTGGCGCGAGTGATGTTGGACTGGGCAGGAGCAGGAGTAGTGTCAGGTGGCTCTCGACCCCTCCCTCATCCAGGATGGGTTTCCCTCCCACGGTGGACCTGGCCCTCTGGCCCTCCTCACCCACACAGATGGTGAGCTGCTTGTTGGGCACTAACAAGGCCATCCGCCTTGATATCCTTGGTGTCCTCAAGCCTCAGCCCTCGCCCGCCCCGGCCGCCCGTGCGCCCACCCGTGGAGCTCACGTTCTGTAGCTGGTCGAAGGCATACTCGAAGCCAGCTTTGTAGCCTGTGGTGCCCTTGGCCACCATGCCCTGCACTGCTTCCTTGAACACCTTCTTGTTGCGCACATTGGCCTGCACCAGGTGTGTGAAGCATGACACGGGCTGTGCCTTCTCGTTGAACTGCAGGGACAGTGAGAGTGGTCAGTGGCCTCAGGCTGACCAGGCTGGGTAGCTGTGGCATGTGGGTGGGGGTGACCCCTTCCTGGCCTGGCTGCCACCTTGGCACTCACCGAGGCAACATTTACATAGTCGTCGTCAGACAGCGTGTCCAGCATCTCGCAGACGGACGTCTTCATCAGCTTCAGGGTCAAGCCGCTCACACTGCCACTCCTGAGGAAGTCATGCAGGCTCCAGGTAGGTCTCAGGTTTTCTCTTGCCATTCCCCTGTGATGCTCCCTGCAGCAGATTCTGGCCCCTTGCCCTGCCCCCACCCCACCCGCCAGCTTTGCCCACTCACACGTCCACGATGATGACCATGTCCTTGGGCGATGAGGCCCCCTGGATATACCTGCCCAGGAGAAGCCTCGGTTAGGGCTGGCCTCGCTGGGACCTTGTGAGTCCTTCCTTCCCCCACATCTGGTTCACTGTGTTTCTATTCCATCTACTGCATAGTTCAGACAGGTTTTTAGGCACCGAGGATTCCTCGTGTAATAAGATAGTCCTTGCCCACGACATGAGTCACCCGGTCCCCTGGCATGTGAACAAGCCCAGGGAGGGGTAAGCAGGTGGTCGGAGGGAACAGAAGGCACGTTCCCTGGCATTGGTGACTTGCTGTGTTTCCTGACCTGGTGTCGCGGTCCCAAGGGCACAGTGCTAGCTGTGTGTAGGACTGCACAGGTGGCAGGAAAGGAGGAGGTCAAGGGGTGCTGCAGGAGAGGCAGGGAGAGGGTAGGGGTGGGGCAGGGGCTGGCCAACCCTACAGAGATGCTAACCCTTGGGAACTTCCCCTGGCCCGAGCCCTTGGTCCTGAGGTGGTGGAATGCCTGGCAGTGGATGGGGGGCAGAGGCAGCTGGGAGGCCTGCCTGGGTGATGGGATCCATTTTCCAGTGGCAATGATGTGTGAAATGAAAATTGGATAGAGCTGGCTGCGCCCTGCTCAGAGGCCTGGATATCGGGAGGGAGGGGAGCAGGCAGGAGAGGTGGCGGAGCTCGGGGTGTCCCTGCCCGGCCCCTCCTTGCTCGCTCACCAGGGTCTCCTTCGGACGTCGTAAAGGTCGATTTTCTTGGGAGCTCGCCACGGGGTGGCTGTGGGAAGAAAGGAGGTGAGGGGGACTGCTGTGGTAGCTGAAGGAAGGGTTGGACCCCAGGAGGCAGCTCTTGCAGGCGTGACCACGTCACAGCTTACACGGTCACTATCCTCCCACCCCCCACGGAGCCCAGGAAGAGTGGGCCGGGAGATGGAGGAGGGCAGGGTGCTGAGCAGACTGGGGAGATGAGCTAGCACCTACCTGGGTAGTAGCGAGTGACCCCCGTGGCACTGCCAAAGACCTGCCATAGCAGTGTGGGGTCCTGCCTGCGGTTCTCGATGAACACATTCTCCAGGGCCTCCGTCCAATTGAGCTCATTGAGGATGACAGTGGCTGTGGGGAATACAGGGGGCTGGGGTGGGGAGCGCCTGGAGTGTCCCCCGCCACACCTCACCACAGTGATGCCCATGCATGTGCCCCAGATTTCGAAAGGCTTTTCTACCCCCTGCCAATCCAGACTTTCCCTCATTCCCCAGGGCTCAGCTAGTCTGTACCAGCTCCTCCAGGCAGACTTCCTGCTCCTACTCTCTCCCAGGCTTCAAAGAAACAGCTCGGACTGTCCTTCAGCCAAGTCCCGCATGATCAGCAGGGCAGCTGGGGCCCCAGGAGAGGGGCCACCCAGGTGGCAGGGAGCTGTAAGCGGGGATGCCCGTCCAGCAGGCTGCCTGGAGCTTGCAGCTGGTCCTCTGGGAGCTCACCCACTCAGCATGCACTCCGGGCTACAGCCACAAGAAAGCAATTAAGGGCCCGATGATGGGGCTGGAATTATTCAGCTATTAAGGTACCTGATAAGCTGGAAGCCACTCAGCTCCATGATTAATCAACTGGGGCCAGGAGCAGGCAGGGGCGGGGGCAGGGGCTCTTTGAGGGGCAGGGCCTGTGCCATGATCCTGCTCCAACAGAGCCACGCGCACGCGCACCCCAACACGGCCTGCCCTCCTCATCAGATATAACTGCATCTACACTCAGTGTTTCTAGCCAGGCAGTGATCCTCTCACTGCCAAACCTACCTGCCCAGCAGCCTGCCTGCCATTCTGGGCACAGGTGCTCATACCTATGTCCCCTTCTGCTCTACAGGACCCCAGTGGGTCTTGCCCTCGCAACCTCCCTCCCTTCCCCAAGCTCAGGAGCTGCTTTTATGTACCTCGATGTACCTCTTCTATGCACACTCACAGAGCAAAGGACTGGATTCCATCCGGCAGATGCTGCAACCCAGGCAGACTCAGAACAGCTTGGATAGGACCCCCGCCCCCACGCAGGACAGCCCTGAGTCTGCCTGTTGTATGTGGGGGGCATGTTTTCACCAGTGCAGCATACCTGTCCTGCATGTGGAAATGCAGAAAGCACAGCAGGAGCTGGACCCCTGCTTCTGCCTGGTCTCTGGACCACACCACTCCCTAGGGGCTGTCGTTTCTTCTCCTAGTCTATTTGGCCTCCTTTCTTCCTGGGAGGAACACTAACACCACTATCTCTGCCCCTGTCCCCCCAAGATCCCCATAAGAGATTCAGCCCAAAGGAGAACCGAAGAATGTCGTCTAAGGCTGTTCTTCTCTTCAGCAGAGCCTCTGCACTGGAACCTTTCGCGTAGACGAGGAGTTGGGATTCAAAGACACAACTCTCAGCACTCTGAGTACAGCCCAGGGGGCACTGGCACACGCCTGGGCACTCTGCCCTTTGCTTACTCACTCGCTCGCACTCCAGAGTGTGGGTCTCTGCTGCGTCTAGTCTCTGGCCTAATCCCTCCCCTCCCCTCTCTCTGTCCCTGCGGCTTCCCTTAACTGATCATAATGTGAAAACAAAAGCCATTTCTAGCATTGGCTGTGCCTATTGAACAGTATGTTATGGCCCCATTCCTAATTTAGAAACTTAGTGAGTTGAACAATTTCTATTTTTCTCTTTAAGGAAAAAATAAAGTCAGGCTCTCAAATGGTTTACATAGTACTGCCTGCCCTGGAGTGTCTGCCTGGCAGATCCTACCCCTCACTTGGCCTCAGTTTCCCCATATGCACAGTAAGAGGCTAAGGGCAGACTGTCCCATTCTAGCTGCTAGCAAGGGGGTTCCTGACTCAGGTCAAGAGCCAAGAGAAGACTATGCTCTGGCTGGCTGTCCCTGTGGGTACTCAGGACCACTTTCACACACGAGCGTGTGCTGGAGGACACACTCCCACAAGCAGCCCCGCTCCTGCCCGGCAAGCGGCCTGCTCCTCGGCCCTGTGCGCACACCCGCACCCACGTGCTCACACTCTCAGATCACACTGAGTTGGGAAAGCGGGACCATGCCCCCTCAGGCAGGCGATTACAGATTTAATTAAAAGTGACACAGTAAATAAAAAACATATAAAATGTAATTTGTGTGGGTAGTGAGGGGTGACTTGGGAGGACGATGTGGCTCCTGTTTTAATTAGCATGCCTGCCTGTGATAGTGCCCCTCTACTGGCTTGGGCAGGTGGCCTGTGGGCGGCCTGTGGAGGGGGCAGGCAGGGGTTCATCCTCCTTCACCCCCACCCCCTAGGTTACACAGTTGGCTGACTCTAAGGGTGGAGGGGGCCTCCCTGAGGACCCTGAGGGATTCCCTGCATTTTGGACATTACCCAGTGGCTCTGGGACCTCTGACCCCCTAACCAGTGGGCCCCTTGGATTCTGAGATGACCTTGTAGGTACCCACAGAATTATATCAGTAATAATAGGGAGCTAGAGCTCACCATTCAATGTTTGTCTCTTGGTCTCTCCCCCCTACACATTCTAAGATCTTCAGGAAGTTCTTCTGTTTGTCTGACTTAAATCCTTCTAGCTATAGTGTACTGGTTTCTCAAGTTCCTAGCGCTTGAAACCTTAACCATCCTTTATCACATCCCACCTCCCCACATCATTAGCCCCTGGCTGCTCTGGACTGGAAACCCTCTCCTTACCTCCCTCCCTCTACCTGTGCCAAGGAGGAGGAGGTGTTACAGAGTTGCTGGTAGGTGGCTGGAGGTGAAAGGCACTGCGCATGCACCTGGGACATCACAGTGTCCAGACAGTGGGGTGATGCCCCTGTCCCACTTGCCCTGCATACTTACAGCCTTTGTAGATGTCCGTGGGGATCTGCACGGCTGTGTATGAATAGTTGACCTTGTTCTTGAAGTTTGAGTCCTCAATGAAGTCCAGCCTTAGGGTGTTGGCCTTGGAACCCTTCTCCACATCCTCACTCTCAGGTTCATCCTGCAGAAATGGACCCCCCCAACCCCGGTAGCATGTCAGGGCTGGGAAACGGTGGAGTGGGGTCGGCAGACAGGGGAGGGCCAGCAGCATCTCAAAGACAGACTATTGCAGTCAGAGACAAAGAGGGATGGAGAGATACAGGGATAGGTGGCTACGGGTATGGACCCCTCACCTAGGAGGCCCTTGATCTCACCTGACACCCCCAATCCTCACATTTGCTAAACCTAAATTCCAAAACCAAAACCAAACTGACCCCTTCCCCACATCCTTGAAAATTAATTATCAGCAAAGGAGGCAGAGCTCAAAGTCAGTGCGGAGTAGACTGCAGACCTCTGCTGACAAGGACATGCCTCCTGCAGCCCTGGCAGCCCTTCCCAGGAGCCCTGCACCCCACCACCCCATTGGGCCCTGGCCATCCCTGCATGGGGTTCCTCTGGCACCAGGGAGAGGGCCTAGACCCATCTGGGAGAGGTGCACCAGGCCCTGCAGCAAGGTGACTCTAGGGACAGAGTTGGGGGGCCATCCTGGGGAGAGCTGGGCTGAGCTGGGGCTCGCATTGGGACCCGATGACCTCCAGAGGGAGGGTCTGCGGTGCCTGCTGGCAGCAGGATGGTAAAGGCTCCCGTTGACTTTCTAAAACGAGCTGCAGCCGTCTGACAGGTGCCAATTACGGCATCTCTTGGCTGGGCAGGCTGGGCATGCGCAGTGTGCCCCCGCCCACCACCACAGGCTGGCAGGAGTGGGTCTGCTACTACAGTGCTGATGCCTAGGAGGGGTGGGCAGGCAGGGGTGCAGGTGTGCAGAGGGAAGGGGAGGGAAGATGGTGGCAGAATGAAGGGGAAGACGGGAAAAAGCCAGCTGAGGAAAGATGGAGACTGAGGCAGTAAGAGCCGGGGGGCTTTGTGCTCTGGGAGGAAGGGATATAAACAGTGAATCATCCATAGGTTCCCCTGCTGCCTCTCAAGACCCTCATGAGCACCCTCAGCCCAGCTGGTTCCCTCTCTTCCTGTGGCTCTCCTGTGGGAGCTAACCTCTTGGTACGCCCCCTACCCCCATCCTTTGTCCAGGCTTTGTCTGTTATAGGGAGGGGGTGATCAGGCCTGCCTGTTCAAGCCTCCCCCAACCCAGATGTGCTCTCCCTCTTCTGGGAGTGCTCCAGGTCCACCCTCAGGCCTGGGGGATGAATTATTGCCTGGATGGGAGGTGTAGTGCGCTGGCTTGGGTGGGGGTTAGCGCTGCTTGAAGGGTCTGCAGCAAACACCCTTTCAGCTTCTCAAGGGTAGATTTTGCACAGCAAAATCCAAGCCTGTGCTGCCCTCCCATTGCCCCTCACCCAGTGTACTGCCCCTCTGCCCACTTCAGCAAGCCTTAGGAGGGCCCTCAGAACCCCCTGGATGTTGGGTAAAGCTGGGGCAGGCAGCCTTGGAGCATGGAGGCCAGAGCGCAGAGCCGCTGCCTCTGAGGCGTGCGCCACTCACGTTCTGCAAAGAGGAGGGGGAGGTGCGGGAGAAGAAAGCCCCCGAAATGTCAGCGGCAGATGAAGGGCGCTGGAAAATTTAATCTCCCAACTTTTCCAACTAATGTGACATTTGGATTCCGTTCTGATAAGCTATCAGCTGGCGAACTTTTTCCTTCCTTCTCTTTCCCCCACCCCCACCTTCTGGCTGGTAATTTAAAAGTAAATGGTCTAGAAAGATCTCTAACTGTACCTCTGGCAAAGATTAAAAAAACAAAACAACACAACAAGCAGGGGAGTCAGCAAACGTGCTTGTGCTGGTATTTATACCAGGGCCTGGCTGGGCTGGCACTTGGTCTAACTGACCTGAGCCCAGGTCCGCCCAGGATGAATCTCCCTGCTTGGACCTTTCTTAGTTTCCCAACAGATGCCTAAGGGGCCAGGGTCAGGGTATCAGTGATTTACAGCCAGGGGCTGGGGGTTCTGGATACAGTTGGGGGCTTCTAGGAGCAGGGAATTCAGGGTCTTCTGCTTGGGAGCGGGCCACCAGGCTGGTCAAGGAGCCCTTCAGTGCCACCCCCACACCCAGAGTTTTGTACGGTGGGTAACTGCAGTCTCCTGGTTTATATTTAATGCACTGATTGCTAAAATTACAGCCCGCTGCTTGGGGGGGGGGTAAGGAATTAGATTCAGGGTCTAATTAAAGGTTCGCTCTTCATTTGAATTTCAGATTCCAGCTTTAATTTTAGCAACTTCTCTGGAAGCCACGGAGGCTCAGCCAAGGGGGAAGCACACCTGCTTTAGCCCACCCACCCCGCCTTCTCGGGCCCCCTGCCCGCCTGCCCTCCTGAAGACTCACCCAGGCCAGCCTGGCACCATGGACCCTGTGCAGGGCTCCTTTCCAGCCTGCTCACTTCCTGGTATCATTGGACACCTGCTCACCTCAGGAACCCCCCTAGGCTGATAGGCCTGGGAGAGAAAAACTGGACTTTGGGGTTCTTGCACCAGCTACCACAGGTGGGCCCCTAGACTGAGCTGCTGTGATACTTCTGTTTACAGAGGAAACAGTCAGGTTCAGTAACATTTGTCTCAAAGGCAGGCAGGTGGACTTGGGCCTTGACACCAGACACTGTCTGCTCCACATGCCCTGAGACACTCTAGACACCTCTGTAGGTCTCCTCAATGGTCACATCGCTTTCCTGTGGGTCCTCTGGTGATGGGGACCTCACTATCTCACAGGGTGGCCCCAACCCGTCAATGACGTGGAGGCAAAAGAGCAGTGGAACTCCGGGTTCTGTCAGTCCATGCCACTCCCGAGGTGGTGACCGCAGCTGGCCTGGAGCCCTCACCTTTGTCTGGAGAATGGGCACAGGGAAGGCAGCTGTCCTGACCTGTAATGCACTTACTCAGCGGTGCTGCATCCTGTGTCCTGGCCCCACCTGCCCGCCTCCAGGAAGCCCTTCCCAGCTGCTCCTTCTCTCCTGACTCTGTGCACTCAGGGGCCCCTCTTGATGCTGACCACTGAATTGACCTACAGGAGGGGTCCATCACTCTGCCCATGGACAGTGCAGCTGTGCCCATTAGTGACAGAGATAGCCCCAGGAGTCAGGGCCCCAAGGGAGTCCTGGGAAGTTAGGGTGGGGGCTTGTGCCACCAGGGCTCTGCAGGGTTGAACTCAGAATGCAGAGCAGTGAGTTTTAACATGCATTTTACAGGGGGCTCTGGCAGCCCCCCTTCTACCCTCAGTGCAGGTGGGGACACTCACCAGCTCAGCATCGGCTTTGGCGTCATAGTACATGATGTCTTCCTCCTGGTGGGGGAGAGAGGATTCAATACTCAACAGCTCAGTCTCCCGAGGTGCAGCCAAGACACCCAGCCCCAAGGTCTGGGATCTGGCTGCCCCTCCCCCCAACCCAGAGCCCCATTCAGGGAGGGCAGGCTGAGTCAGATTGGTTATGCCCCACTCCCACCCCCTGCCAGGTCGTCTTCAGGGGCCCCCACAGGCTCCAGGGTGATGTGGTACCAGGGTCACAGCCCCCCAGACTCCCTGTCTCCAGCACAAGGGTCCTCTGCTCTGCAGCCCTGCTGGGAGGCAGTGTCAGAGGCAGCCTGTCTGCAGAGACTGGCGGAGGCAGGACCGGGGGAGTGAGGAAGATGGGAAAATAGAGCTGAGTCTGGGTAAGAGTGAAATAATGACTCGACACTGCATCTTCCAATTTCTTCTATTAAAAAGCCTGCTCATTACGGGCATGTACTTATTAATTATCTGTGATTTGTTGTGAAATACAAGGGGGTTTACACAACAGGAGCGGGAGACAACAAAGCCCAGCCCGCCGCCTGCCACCCGGTCCTCGCCTGCCTGTGCCGGCCCCACCCATCCTGGCCCTGCTGCCCACCCACCGCCTGGCTTCTTGGCCATCTGCGTGTCATAATCACCGGTCACCCCAGGGACCCGTTACACAAACGGGCTAATTTCATGTTTAATGATCTTTAATCAGAACTGAGCATGGCTGACAGAGGCCGCCAGAAGGTGAACCTGGTGCCATGAAGCCACCCACTCAGGAGAAGCCACCCCAGCCCTGCGCCCGCAGGCCCCAGGACCAGAGCCACTGTCTCAGTCCCCTGCTCCTCAGCCCTGTTTTGCACAGCAAAAACCTCCAGCAAGGCATGGAGGCCCCTTGTTTACTGGGGGCCTGTTTCTTTGTGGTCTTCAAATAGGAGTGATGAGCAGATATACGCTCCCAAGTGTCTGGCTGTCAACAGCAAGCACAGCCCTTATTCTATGTGGCAGAAGTCACTTTGGTCACCCCTTGCCCAGGCCTGGCTAGGCGCCATTTGCTGTGTGACCTCAGGGTGACATTGTTCCCTCTCTGAACTCAAGCTCCTCATGCTCAGGGAAGGGGTTGGTCCTGGAGACTGCCCAGGTGATGGGGCTGGGGCGTGGTGTGAAGTGATGGTGCTGGGCTTTGCCGGGAATCCCAGTTATAGGCTTGTCTCCCATCAGAGGTCTGGGGGTGCAGGCCAGTGGCTGGACCTGTAGGCATAGTTCAAGCACTCTAGAACACTGAATGCATGCCTGGCACCATGCTTGGGCAAGATCACAACCTCTTGAATGTAAGACTGAAGGTGACTTGATAGTTTTGGTCTTCTGAGGCATCCACTGCATCTAGCGCTCGACACTTACTGTGTTACAGGGTTCTGTGACCAACAGCCTGTAACCTCATCACACAGACCAGGACCCTACACAGGGGTAGGAAAGGCTTCTACCCCCGGCTTCAACCCACCTTCCCAACTCAACTGCAACCCTCCTGCCCACCCACCAGTCCTGGAAGATGGGCACCCAGGTGGCCCCGGGCGGGGGCGGGGCCCAGACTCCTAGGTGCTGGGCCTTTCCCTGTGCTCTGTGTTCTGACCGAAGCGCTTAATGAAAGCTGACATTACATCAAACACAATAAGGAGTTTCGGTTGATGAAGATCATTCCTGAACACACAAACCCATTAAACCAAGGGGAAAAAATATCAATTCAACACACTCGCTGGTGAAAAGAAAATGTGATTTGTTATCTAAAAGGGGGTTATAAACACGGCTCTGATGCGCTTTCCCTCCGTAATGAAAACAGGCGGGTGCTGTGGGAGGACTGCAGATTAGGACACGGGGCTTCGCTCACCAACTTTTTAGGCAAACCATCTGCAAGGGCAGGAAAGGGCATGGGTGGGGGTCTGTCCCTCTTAGGCCCCAGGTTCCCCTCAGAGGCTCGGCCACCCCTCCAGCTGCTACACTGGATCCCTTTCTCCATTTGTCCTGCTGTTTCACAGTTTCACTGGAGGATCGGATTGGTGGCATCAGAGACACAGGGGGAACATGCTATACAAGAGGATTCAGGCCTCTGCAGACTATGAGTGAGGCTCAAGAATCTATTTCTTCTTCCCAGGGGCTCAGCTGCAGGGTAGGCAGGACTCTCTCCCATGTTTCCTGACTTGAGAAGGCCAGTTCCTGGCCTCCTTGGAAGAGAGTAGCATGCGATGGTGGTGGGCAAGTTCACGTGTGTGAAAGTACGTCGTCAACACAGCTGCGGTGGCTATGCTTAATGTGACGTGAAGCTGAGGTGCGGCAGATAAAGGCCATTTGTACTGGAGTGGGGGTGGTCCCTGGAAAGGCTTCTGTGTGGTTTTGGCTCACGCAGTGCCGCAGTGTCCACTACTGATGCCCTGTCCACTAGGTAAACCACAAGGAGGCAGCGCCTCCTACAGATGGCATGCAGAGATCTTGGCAAAGGGTTCTGGCTTCCAATCCTGAACCTGTGAGAGCTGGGATCCCGAGTAGTCAGTGGGCCCCAGGGCCCCATAAGGATGTCCCAGGTTCACCCCAATCCCACTGACAAGGCAAGGGGTGCCTGTTGAATCTTGTAGCCTCAATGAGGCTTTACCTTGGGGTCTTGATTTCCCACTTATAAAAACAGGATGATAATGACTCCTCTGAGGGTGCTAAGAGAACAGAGAGCTGGGCCACCCCATGCAGGGGGGGTGGTGGTGGTGGTGCTTATGTTTGCAACGCCACAGTTGACAGTTGGGGTCTGAGTGTGGAGAAACCCCTTGGCTGGGGTGAAATGGAAATCCTTAATGTTTCACATTAAGTATCCACACCCTTGACACTCCTTTCTGTTACTTGGTATTTTAGGGGCCACTTCGCTCAAACTGGGCAGGGGAGGAACCACCTCTCTGAGCTCACACACATGCCCTCCCTCGCCCACGCTGTGTGGATTTGTGTCCACAGATGACACATGAGGGGTAGGCCTGGGAGGATCCACACAACTCTTGGATAGATGACACATACATTCTCCTTATCTGACAATGAGAACAAGAGAGGGATCCCCCAACTCCCTGGAAAGTGGGAAATGGTGAGGAAATGAACACAGGGTGAATGTGGGGAGCAGTGGTGGCATCTATGGTTAGTGCTGTGGAAGGTGGCTGCTGTGACCTGCCAGACCTGGCTGCCGGCTGCCCATCAGGCCCCTGGGCAGGGCCCAGGCCAGCCACCCGGCTGAACTAGTCAGGACGCTTGGCCTTCCTGCCCTGGCTCACTGCCAGCTCAGCTTAGCTCAGCCAAGAGGACTGTTTTCTGAGACAGCCGTCTGTCGCCGGCTTGGCGGAGAGGCAAGCAGTGGGCCCGATGACTGGGGCAGACCTCAGGCGGAGGAGGCCACCTGTCCTGCCCAGCTGGGTCCCCTGGCCTAGCCCCACCTTCACAGCCCTCCCTTTAGAGTCCTAGAGTCACCTCTCCTCTCAGATTCCCAGAGTAGAACTGCTTCCTTCACTAGATGCCCAGGGCAGGGCTTTGTCTCCTGCAGGCCCTGGTGTTGGCACTGAGGCCCAGGACCAATGGCTTCTCCTGCCTCCCTCACCCATGCTCTGTCCCAGCTCCTCCCTAGTGGCAGTTTTGGTGGCAGATAACTCTGGCACAGTGAGGTGCTGGCTCCAGGCAGTGTCCAGCAGGTGGACCATCTTCATCCACCCTAATTGCAATGGGCACCAGAGCACATGCTGCCTGCTCACTAGGGCCATTGTTTTTTGGTGCCCAAGGGGTGGGACAGGGCTGGGACTCTGGATCCCCTGCCCGTGACAAGGCCAGGTGTGTGGGGTAATGACCTAGGACTAGGGAGGGGAGCAGGGGTCTTCATATCCAGACATCTCCCCCTTGCTCTCTTGTCCCAGTTCTGACTCTACAGGTTCCAAGATTCCCCAATTTCCTGAGCTGGTGCTGATGGTTATGCGTGCGCGTGTGTGCGTGTGTGTGTGTGTGTGTGAGGACACCACTGATCATTTCTCAGAAGTCTGAACACAGAGGGCCCCAACCGTCCTGGTTAAGCTGTGGATCCCAGTCTGGTCTCATGGACCGTGTCTCCTCTGTGACCAGGACTAGGTGCCACCCTCCCCATCTCAGAGGTAAAAGACTGAGCTCCAGCTGCTCCTGGTCACTCTGTTCAGAGAGCACCCAACGGGCACAAGCATGGTAGTGGGCAGTGCTGAGTGAGACCTAGAGGGGCTTTGCATGAGGCAGACACGTGAGCCCACTGGGACACCGCCCGGGGGAGCCTGTGCTGGGAGCTGTCTGTGATGAGGTACCAAAGATGGGCACTGTTGGCAATGGGGTCTAGTCCTAGGGTAGGGGCTGAAAGAGAAACCCCACACAGTTAACTGGAGGATAGTCTTTGCCTTTCTAAAGGAAGGGCATTCCCGAGGGAAGACCTGGCTTGCATAAAGGACCTAATTTTGAGGCTGGGGTCGTGACACAGGCCAGGTGGCTCTCTTGAGTACTGGGGAGGAACGTTGTTCCTTAGCTGTTGCTTTCTGAAGGTCACTGGGAAGGATGTGGTTTCAAGGGTGGGTAGTGGGCCTGCAAAGGACAAAAGCATTGCCCATTCCCCAGTCTCAAGTTCCTGTAGCCTGTGGCATGCACAGTACCCACCTATAGCTGCCACCAGCTCCCCCTGGCAGACCAGGCAGGGCCGGCTGGTATACTGGCTGATGGGCCATCATCAGTCTGGCAGCCTGGGCAGCAGTCATTCCAGGGAATAACAGGGTCCTAACACTGCAGTTGGAAAGGAGAGGCAGCTCTACTCTGCCCAGACACTGGTGGGACAGATGGGCTGCAATGGTGGTGAGCACTGGGCAAGCAAGGCTGGGCTAGTCAGAGCCCATTCCTACCTTATTTCCGGTCAGGAGCACCCAGGGCCCATGAGGTGGTGTGACTAGCTAGGCCACACACCATCACCCATTTAGCACCTACAAAGCCTAATATGTGCACCATGCTCTCACACGGCATGTCTAAGCCGACTGGCAGCACCAACGCCAGCCAGTCCTTTGCCACATGGAGAAGCTGATGCCCTTGTCTGGGTCCCCTACACAAGCAAGTCTTCAAGCAACACCAGTCTCACTCTGGCCTTCCATCACGCAAGCCCCACACTGCCCACGCTGGCCTGGGATAAGCTGTTCCTGACTCGGGAGTTGGGAGTAGCTGACAATCAGGGATCTGGCAGGATGACCCATGGAAAGCATGGGTTTTCTTCAGAGTCAGGGAGAGAAAACAGACGTGGGTCCTGGATTGAGAGAGAGGGTGGGTCCTTTCATCCTCTGTTCCCTGATTCCTGTGCTTGCTCTCTGGTGCCTGCTCTGCCCGCCTGTCGGGGTGGGAGGGGAAGCACATAGGAACAAATGAAGCGGGGAGCAGGGGTAGAGGGTGCTCGGTGCCCAGAGGAGGAGAGG